TTGTTGGGGTGAGGGGTCACCACCCCCTGGCTGCGCCTATTCTTACTCCGTGTGGTATTAAGTTTTATTTTATACTTACTTGAATATTATCATCATTAATATTATGTGTTTTCGTTTCCAAAATAGATTTCAAATAATCACAGTTGACGCTGAATGGCCAGTTGACGTACGCTTGCTTTGTTTTTGAATTTTGGCTTTGACATGTTCCGTTGAAAGCTGCAATAGAACATCAAATTTTGTTTACGTAAGTCTTTATTTCATTCTTACAGTCACTAACCATTCAATTCTTTCATAATTACGTATTTCTAGCGGACAACAAAGCTAGATGTTTGTCCCGTAAATACTAATATTAGTGAAATATTATACAGGTAGACATTCTTTGCAATGCACGGGACGAGGTGCAAATTCATGCTTTCAACCTTGAGTAAATTAGTGGCCAGATGATGTGTTTAAATGTGTGCGTACGTACCATTTAGTATTTTGCGCGCAAAGGTAGAAATAAACAAAAATAAAAGATTATCGATTCAATGAAATGTAAGGAAATACATATATCAATTACAATAAATAAAGGATCGCAACATTCCTTAATTACGGGCGTAAAGTAAAATAAATATGCTATGGTATGAAGAATAAGGTGGATTGAGATAATAAAAGTGATAAGGAATTTGTCCTCTCGCGCGTAATATTACAAATAGCCAAATAAATCGTTTCTGGAATAAGACACCAGTCTTTTTAGTAGACCATCACAATCCTACTTTTACCAATTTGGGTATATATAAAACCTTTCAGGATTCCGATTTCGAACCATAACGTTTACAAACAAACTACGGTAACTTTACGACCAAGAAAAATATTACTAACCTTCTCCGTCTACTGAATTCCATAAATATATAAACAATGCAAGTAGGATGTAAGAAGTATTATGCTTCATTAAAACGCTGTTCTGTGAAAGGAATTTAAACGTATTTTTGAGAAACATAGATGGGTAAAAGAAGGGAACAAAATAAATAGCGACATTCTTTGTTTGGTTCATAGCAGGTTGGTGATTATCATTGGTTCATAGGTCATGTTCTACTTCATCTTTCATTTACATTCTATAGCTTCATTTGCGAAATTATAGCACGGTGTTATGCAACACTTACAGTAATAATAAAGTACTAAATTATATCAGCAAAAACTCTTCCAAAAACCACAAAAGTCCTTAATTCTTGACTCAAAGCACTAACTTTCCCAATACTGCAGGAGAAAATCCTCACAAAAATGCCTTAAATCAAACGCTTTATTACGGATAAATATTGAAAAGATAATAAACAGACAGGCAAGTTGGAGAAGGGGATTCTCTATTCTATGAATAACAGCGATGTTCTTAGTTCTTAGTGTTCGTCTTAGTGCCAGGTCAGTCCATCAACTCGGAAATTTGGCATGAGTACATAGCGGATCAGACAAAATAATACCGACCATTGTAATCAATATCATACTATAGATAGGGTTAAAACAGTCTCTCATTCAGTAACACTTCTTTAAGCACACATTTTAAACTTCCTATACTGCACAAAAGCGGGACCTTGACTTGCGTATAATTCTTGCTAAAGAACTAAAGATTGAACAAATGAAGTAGTTTTTTGAGTACTAGAGAAGGAGGAATAAAGAGTTCTAAAATGGACAAAGGGACAAAAAAAATTGGGGCACCACTGAAAAATCGTATTACGTGACTTAAGAGTCTGAAGGTAAACAGACACGCGGCCTAAATTGATACCGAATGAATAACTATCTTTGCTATAACTGACATCACAAATAAAAACGTAATTAAACCGTTAAACGAATGACCCTAAATACTAAAAAAGCTCGTTTCCAATTTTATATGTCTATCATATTTTATTTCCGACATCTCATGCCTGCAAAATATTTGTCTAGGCTCTTTAAGTAAATATGGACTGACTACAATGCGCACTGATCAATTTACAACAAATTCTTTAAAATTCAAGTTACTAGGGAAACGCGATGGCCTAGCGGTCAAAACGTTAAGACATTTCGGGTTCATCAGTTGCTGTTGTGTAGAACAAAGGGCGTGAATAAGAATCGTATTTATCCCGTAGTCGAACGGGTACTCCCGTAGTATGTACCAGGTTAAGTTTAGGCCTTAATTTTATTCCGATTTTTCCTATTACGAGTTCGGGGATTGTCTGTTTTAGCCAAGTAAATATACCACTTGTTCATATGTGTCAGTCCCCTTGCTCAACTTGATGTAAAGTAGGCGAACAAAACTAGTTACTTCCATGATGGTACATACACTTCTGGAACGCTGTCGAACGTACATCTGGTTAAAAACAAGATCTTTTTTCTTTTGAAAAGGCACCTTAGTCCACAGCAAATATTAAATATTAACTCATAATTCCAGGTACTAATACGATCTGAATTGTAGGCCCTTATATCGTATTGAGAGAAACATCAATATAAACAGAACAATTTCTCCCCCTTGTTGTAACGCTAAATTTCAGTAATCAGCGTCACTCCGTCCGTAAAACCAATACACACCGATTTCTGTCATTTGTTCTCAACCCGACCTATTGACGTCATTGGATTTGTTGTTACATATCTACCGTGATCCGTGAGAACCAACATGATATCTCTGCAATAAAATCTGAGAATTAGATTATATATACCCAGTGAACTAATGAATTAGTGACAGGTATAATATTGAAACTGGAAATTCTAGAGAATTGTTAAAATGAATAAAACGAATACCGAACTTGGAAAAAATCAGATAAAACATAAATGTTAACAAGCTAAATATACATAATGTAGAATGCAACGCAAAACAAATTGGAAATACTTTTGAAACTTGTGCTGGTATTTGATCTGTGAAGAAAAACGACCACAGTTGTGTTTATTGTTACAATACTTTTGTCATGATAGCTTGGTTAATCCCCTCGCAACTCGGCGCAGATCAGCGATATAATTATAGCAGTGTTCTGTTAGTCACGAATCAAGATAAACAATAGCGTGTCCCATAATGAAGTTATTGTAAAGTACTCACTTGAGTATCATCATTGGTGAATCGCGAACTGTTTTTTCTAGGACACTCTTAAAATGTGAAGTCATTCACATATTAGGTTCATTTATTTTACAACTTATCATAAACCGTACATCGTTCTATTTTGACACGCATTTTGACCCGAACTCATGGTCAATTTCACACAAAAAATCCATAGCGTGAATATTATATCCGAGGAAAATTGCACGTATGAATTGGTAACCATTGATAAATTCTAATTTTATTATGTCTCCGTGATTGTATGTGTGTGTGTGTGTGTGTGTGTGTGTGCGTGCGTGTTTCAATTAATTTTGGTGAGCGAACACGTACCTCTTTTTTCGGCAACACTTCATGAACGCAGCAGTATATTTGGCAATAATCTAATTTAGAATCGTTTTTAGTCATTTGTAAAACGTGGTTAAGTCCAGATGGAAACGAAAAGTAATATTTAAATTTACGAATCATATTAAAATGCAAATGAAATGACAACGAAATATTCTTTGTGAATGGCCGCGAAATATCATACGTAAATGGAATTGACGTATCTGGTTTTAGAATTCTGCTGGAACTGTTACATCTTTTGAATTCCTAGGATTCGAAGGTCATACTGTGGAAAGTGGATTTGATCTAAATTTGGTAAATACCACTCTGGTTTGAAGTGTATTATTGCCCCTGTAATGGAATGTTTTACGTATAATCCTTTTTTTAGTTTTATGTCAATCTAATTTACGAATCACTCTTCGCATTGAATTCATTTATATAAAAACCACATGACACGATAGACTCTGCTTAAATCACATTAAAATGCAAATGAAATGACAACAAAATATTCCTTGTGAATGGCCGCGAAATATCATACGTAAATGGAATTGACGTATGTGGTTTTAGAATTCTGCTGGAACTGTTACATCTTTTGAATTCCTAGGATCCGAAGGTCATACTGTGGAAAGTGGATTTGATCTAAATTTGGTAAATACCACTCTGGTTTGAAGTGTATTATTGCCCCTGTAATGGAATGTTTTACGTATAATCCTTTTTTTTAGTTTTATGTCTATAAGGTTCTTCATCTGATTTTTTGAAACAGTTGATTTGGTCACATGACTATAAAGATACCGACAAACTCCTTTGTAATTCTTGTTTTTACCAGTTTATTAAATTCATATGTTTCTGCCTGATAACTTGAAGCATACACTATTTATCTATTGTGACGTCAATACGAGTAATACGTTTACGGCGAATGAGCCTCCAAAAAAAATCCATTCTATTACCTACGTCCTACACAGTGATCAAAGTTGGTCATTTCACGAAGACAAAGAACATTTTTTGTGAGAATATGGTCAATATCAGATTAACAATATATGTTACACTCTTTTGAATTGGCCGAGTAGGTTCAGAAGTATCCTTTGATAAGTATCGTACCGATATTTGAATAAAAGTCTGATAGTAGTATCTTACCGAATAAATTTGTCAATGTATCATAGTATCCATTGAATCGTCAAATATAATTTACGTGACACTTGCCTGATGTGATACCAAGTCCTAATCAACACGGACTCTTCGCAGGCGATTATTTCTCCAACTAGAGCAGGGGTTCTCAATCTGGGATTCACGAACCCCTAGGCCAGTGGTTCTCAACCGGGGACGAAGCAGTTCGAGGGGGGCCACGACACAAGGCTAATAATTGATTATAAAGCGACTTCGTTTGCATACATTCCATTTAAATAAATATTCCCCGCTCACCTCAGTTTCATTACCAGAATAGGTTATTTCCGGTCACAAGGTGTATTCACTTTCTCGTGCGCGGATTGTTTGAGCATAATGGAATTTACTATACGGAATAGTTCGCTGGCAGGCCGTATAACCTGCGGACGGGCAGTTTCAATAGGCGGCGAGTTAACCGTCGGTATCGTATTATAAACTCAGAAGCCTTCATGTAAATTCCTAATACCCAAAATACGAAAATGGAATGAGCAGCTACGTTGGCTTTGGCTTTACCAAAGAAAATCGAGATGACAGAGAATGTGCTCAATGCATGTATTGCTCGTATGTAATGAGCAATGAATCATTACGTCCATTCAGACTCCAAAACCACCGTGACAAAAATCATCCCCATGTAAAAGACGTTGATATTGATGCATTGGCTGCCAAGCGAGTCAGATTCGACAAGGAGGCAACATTGACAAATTTCGGGTTTCTGACGGAGGAAAAGCCTGCTTTAGAATGCATTTATGAAGTGGCATATCGTATCGCAAAGTGCAAAAAGCCGCACACTATTGCCGAGGATCTTATCAAGCCATGTGCGGAGAAAATGGTGGAACTGCTGATAGGTCCCAAAGAAAAAAGAAAGATGCAGCAAGTTCCTCTTTCCAATAGTACAATCCGTCGACGTATTGATGACATGGCAGCCGATGTATGCCAACAAGTTTGCTCTGAAATCAAGCAAAGTAAGCTTCAAGCCTGGAAAGTCACTTGATCGCTTTTGCTCGTTACGAAAAAAAATGAAAAAATATCGGCTGTATGAACTCCGATTTGAGGTAGAAACAATTTCTACACTTTCTTTCACGATGAAGAGTTTGGATGATGCTTGCGTATCTTGCAGATGTATTTGGGTGCTTTAATGAAATGAAACTGTCCTTGCAAGGTCGCAATGTCACAGCCAGTGACGTCCAGGACGAGCTCGCCGGAATATGTGCTCGAATGGGGGTTTGGCAAAAAGGAATCAAGTTGGGATCAACTGCATCGTTTCCTCTGTTAGACGAGTATTTGCTGACTAAAACAGTACAGTGGCATGAAGACATCAAAACTATTATCATTGAACATCTCGAGATAGTTTCTGCTGAGTTCGAATTGTATTTTCCAGACAAACCCATACATATTCCGTGGTATAAAGACCCATTCGTCACTGAAATATGTCCGATAGATGAAGAAGCAGAGGAACTGGCAGAACTGATATCTTCGAATGCGATGAAATTGACTTTTAAGAATAAGGAAGACATTTCGAGTTTCTGGTTATCTCTTTGGGATTCTTACCCACTACTTAGTAAGAAAGCTTCTTCATTACCAGTTCAATTTGCCACAACCTATTTGTGCAAATCTGGTTTTTCTGAGCTTGTTACCATCAAAACAAAATCTGGAAACCGTCGTGATGTTGACCTTGACATACGTCTGGCTATATCAAAGACGGTGCCTAATATAAGAAACCTAGTCAGACAGTCCCAAGCGCAAGATTCCCATTCATTGTTTAATAAAAAGCTTTGTCATTCTTTCCTGTGTTGTGTTTTTGAATTCTATAAATGGTCGCAAATACGTAGTACAATCCAACACGTCAAGTTTTTTGGAATGATGAACAGGGGGGCCACGAGTGCGAAAAGCCTCCGGAAGGGGGCCACGAGCCATGAAAGGTTGAGAACCACTGTCCTAGGGGTTCACGAGAAGATTTCATGGGGTACTTGGACGGCAGTCGAGTTTTTGTGTGTTGCTGTTTTTTAACATTCTTTAGTACTATCAGAGGAAAATGCGTGTCAATTGAAACTAAATTCCAATTGAAACGTAGATTTTTCCTGAAGTTTCGTTGTTGTGATTATGACGGAACAATGTGAAATTCACGGCTTTGCAACCAAACTGTGAAATCTTATACGAGAGCGTACTGCTATCATTGGAGAAAGTGATTATGCCTATTAAAACTTGGGGGAGATTTTAAGAATTCATTAGTTGGGCGGAGGACAAGGGCAATAATATCAACACGAAGATTTAATTTAGTTACATCTGGTCAATATATTGCTGTTACAACAAATCGTTAGTCAATATATCACAGATTCAGATGACTTATTTCTATCATGCAAGAATCAACACGAAAGCACGGAAATTGACAAACGTGTATAATGACAATCGTAACAAATGTAATTATACACATAAGAATGGATACAAGTGAGAGATTCATAGCTATAGATAAGTAGTCGCGAAAGACTGTGACAGTCATCAGGTCAGCGACATGAATCAAAATTAACAGAAAAACAAAATCACAACATATCACAGAATAATAATACAAGCGACAGCGCCCTCATGGGGTTCAACTGTGCGTTCATGAACTGTAACACGAAGTTTGTTCGGTGTCTGATTACCGGGGGTTCGCGTTGATTGTTTCGTGACTCGGGGGGTACTTGACAAAAACAGTTGAGAACCCCTATACTAGAGCATAACCTGTTTTGAAATGTCATTTATAAACTTTTTAATATTTACTGACATCTTTGATACTGCGCAAAGCAATTGGATAATCATATACCACTATAAATGTAAAACAACTTGCTATGATGAGTTTAGTTTCAAATTTTAACTTATTTCACTTGTTTTTGTATGTCATTAATTTTCAATTACAAGAAAATCCTATACAAATATGCGTGAGAATATATTACAATAGCAAATAATTCTTTGATCCAATGACATCATTTATTACACTGTTATGTGGAATATTCTATTCTATATCTCCGTAGCAGCATAAATAAACTAACACGGACAAGTAAAATACTTGAACATAAAACAAAAACTATCCAGATAAATCAAATACCCATTATAATATATATTAGTCAAAACAATTAAAACCAGAGCTGTAAAGTCGGTGAAAATTTAAGATCAATTCCGGCTACAGTTTGAAAAATAATTTTGATTTCGACTCCGGATAAAAAAAAATGTCAACTGTGACTCCGTGTTGTAAAAAATTTTGACTTCGGCTTTCGAACAAAATTAGTGTGAGCGTACCTTCTTCCATAACCTGTTAAGAACGGTTAGTAAAATTAACGCTTTTTCAGTCTTAATTGGAAATTATGACTTATTTTTTCTCATCGGTGTTTTGCAATTTTAATTCTCCGACTCCGGATAGTTTGAAACTATGACTCAGACTCCACTAAAAACATGTTAAACTCCGAATAGCCCTGATTAAAACAAAGAGTGATTTACGGAAGTTGTAAATTTGAACCCTCATTATCATTTATCAGTTAGTCATTTAATCTTTTTATACCCCACACATATTCTAAAACATTGCAACGTTACAGTTACATTGAAAAGAATGTGACCTATATCTGAGGCGCATATTCTTAAACACTTTTATTAATATTCAAGTAAACGAACGCCTACAAATTCATCATTTTAAATTTTGTTATCCCAAGTTTTTTTTTTGGTTTTTTTGAAAGCTTTTTAGCAATTCATAATTATTTTACTTTACGAAATCAACGTGCAAATATACATTTCATGAAAAAAAATATATTATTCGCCAATAATCATACATTACAAGAGAAAAATTTGAATTAATCCTAATACTCCAAGATATTATTTGATAAATCGACGATACATTCAGCATTTTACATTTTGTTATCACAAAAAAGTTTATTTTAAAATATTTTTAGCAATTAAATATTATTTTGCTTTACGGAAATAACGTACAAATATACATTTTATGAAAATAATATTAACCGTAAGTAATCATACATTACAACGAAGAAATTTAATTGCCATCTTTGTCAAATGAAAACATTCCAGCAAGATAGGGCAATTAAAAAAAAAAGATAAAAAAAACATAAAGACGTTTTAAAACGTAACTAAATTACTAACATGATTCTTACGTCGGACCCAAACAATAATGTTTTTAGCAATATTCAGATGCGATGGAACCTATTAAAAAAATAGCTCCAAACCTAATTTTTATAGTACTATAGTACTATCTTATAGTACTAATGAATCATTCAAGTTCAATGTATAAACAGCATGAACATACCAACGAAATAATTTGATCTTCTCATTGAATTAGGTGGGAAATGCTTTGCACAATAATTTTTAAAAACAACGCTACACGCAACTTCACGAAATTATAAAATTAAGTTTATTATAACCAAATAATCTTCGATGCACGGCGACAATATTTTTAAACACAAACGCTGAGATTCCCTTATAGAGTTTGTAAACGCCGCCTTGAACAAATTCATCAAATTTATCAGAAATGCACTTCAATGTCCTTGCGCGAATACATAAAAATACGATCATATCCCCTGAAAGTGACGTCACAAACAATCTAGACGCTCCAACATTTTGGAAGCAATTGAGTAATATTTCATGTACAAACCGTTATTCAAAATATAAATGAAAAAATATTTTCATACTGACCCGCCATGAACAACTCCGCAACTCCAATAAAACAATTAATGTGCAGTAACTACACGCTACAAGCCCAACGATTTACCTTCATACCGCTTCTTAAAAACTTCATCAAACTTATAAAAAAATCAGTAATCTCAAATATTTTTCTCTAGATATACGAAAGCGTAAACATACAAACAGATGCTATGAAAACTGCACCACAAGTCACTTCATATTTCAAATATGAAATTTTCAGTAAGTATTCATTTATTTTCCATATTGACATGAAATCTAATATTATACCAAAACACTTAAGTTAAAATTGCAAAAATAATATTAAAAAAGTTGTCAAACGTCGGTTAAATCCCTCACACGGTATGTCAATATTATAAAGTATAACCAATATAATAATTTAAATTTTTCTCATATCTTCAAAATAATTAAATATTCTTCTTATTTAACGAGATATTTAATAAATATACATACGTTAACCAATTACCGGATGAAAGCAATTCACCATAAAAATTGAAGTAGTCTCACCCACATTTCATTTTTTATTTCTTTGTTAAAGATTTGTTTTCATTTTACAGTTTCACCACTACGGGTCAGGGATGGCGTATCACTTTTGGCGATTCATATGCGTGTTTTCGTACTCTGATTTCATAAAATCGAGAGAAATAAAAAGTCCCCGATTAAAGTGATGCATAAGTGAAACCCAAAACTACAACAACAGCAACAGAAGCTTATAAGATTTGTTTCAGAAGTTTCTCATAGATACAAACATTGATTAAATATCTGTGACCCACTCTCTTCAGTTCCGCGATAAAAATATAATTTTTGACCCATTCATTGGAAAAGGTTCGCCATCTCTGCCCTGGTACATCCCGTAATAAGTTTATCATTGTCAAAAAATCTTAATCTTTTTATTGTGATTTGTAATTAGCTAGTATGCTGTCCTCAATCTACATCAGCGGTTCCCAAAGTGGGCGAAAACGTTCCATTGTGGGCGTTTGTCATAACTTGGGGGGCGCTGGCTGTCAAACTGGGCGATTGGGGGGCGCTGACATCAATACGAGAACTCGTATGATATATTATGCAATATAATCCTATGTTTTGGTTCAAACTAGTTTGCCTGTGATTTCGGTGTTGGAAATTTCTCACTCAACGTAGAATAGGTATTATGACTTTTTCAAATCCTATTTGTTTCACAATTATACATAGCTCATACGGCATACGCTTCCTTCATCATGCACTGTACGTTGCATGGTACTGTTTTGAATAACAGCTTCATTCTACTATCGGGTTATATGATGCTTTGGAGCGATAGTGTAAGTACAACACCTTTATGTTATAATTTTGGTTTTGTTAAGAGCAACACGTGTGAGCTGGGCATCTGATTGAACTGACGTACGTCAGATAGGACCACATCATGTTGCGACTTAACTGGCTCATTTTTATTTCTTGGGTCATTGAATAATAAGGCTACATAAGTAATACATAAATTGGCAAAAAGTTAAGATCTAGTCTGTTGTTCCATCATGTTGTGTCTGACATTGTTTAATGTTGGTTTATCATTTGTATTGTGTAAGTTCAAAATATGGAATACAGTGACTTAAGCAGCATTTAACCGATTTATATTAAAAACAGTATTATACAGCGTGGTCCTCAAAAACGAAACCATCAATTTCTCGATTACTTATACGAAAATGGAGTGAAATATTTAATTTTGTTTACACTTGAACTTATGTTTGCGTATGTTTGTACCCAAAATTGTCGGTAAATCTGGGACGTTTGGCACAAAAATTATGTTGTTCCTAGAATATGTTCCAAATGCCCGACAATTGCATTCTTTTGCAACGTTGTCAATTACCCTTCTTTGGGTATTTCTCTATTTAATTTCCGCAATCGCAGCCTTTACTTCACCAATCGTTTGATGATTGTTCTGATACAAATTGTCCTTCGAACTCCCTACATATCAAAATCCCAGTTCGATAATTAAGGTGCCCACTGGATGTCACTGCTGACTTTCCTCTCAGGAAAGCAAGGGTCTGATTTAATGTATGGGGGGGGGGGGCACCTCGTCATGCTTGAACCACTACTGGTCACCTCTATCAATTCCTCAAGTAATGTCCAGATTTTTCTCAGCACAAATGTTATGTATTCACCGTTTGGACTCTTTCATTTCCTCCTTCATTCCTCCTGCTGAGTATAATCATATGCAAACAGAAGTTCAAGAGCAAATAAAATTAAATAATTTTACTGGAGATAGTAAAGACATTTTTGGTTTCTGTTTTCTAGATAGCCCTGAATTTCCAGAAGCAAAAATGCACCACTACTATTGGGTTTATACTTTCAAACTTATGTTCAATGATCCCTCCTTTAGGAACAGCAGCAAACTGAAATATCCTCACGAGTGAGATCGGGTTAAAAGTTTTTTTATTGCTTTTGCCAGCTCATTCTTGGTAGAGCGAGATGACCGCACTTTTACATATCAAGAGAGATTCCCTTGACAGTGTCAGACTAGACTCAAAACTGTTTTTGACTGAAATGAAGCCAGATATTATCAAACTGTTGGCATTTCGCTAGGCTCAGCCTTCACATTTTACTAATGATAAACGGAGAATAGAGTTGCTTTGACTATTATTGTCAGGGGGGCGTTTGCTAGGTGAAAAGTCGTCCAAGGGGGCGCTGGCAGAAAAAGTTTGGGGAACACTGATCTACATGCAAAGGTCTTCTACTATAGTAGGCTAGAGTAGCCAGTGTTTTTCTCCTCAAAAAGCAAAGACAAAAATTATCGACTGCCAATGTGGTGCATTTATGTTGAGGTATGTTACGTAAAGACTGTTATGCAAAGTTTGTCAAACGTGAGTTATAAAAAATTGCTTCATTCAGAATGTGAGACGGACAAAAAGAATGTATACTGAAAGCGCAAATAGGAATAAGGCAAATGCACCAAATCAAATAAAGTGGGACGAGACAACGCTAATTTGTTCAAGTCATGTGATATTTATTTTAACCCAAGCAATATATACTCCAGGGAATAGGATAAAACTGTGAGGGACAGATAAGTAAATGAATCAATTGTAATTGCAGCAGTAATTTTAAAAAACTAAATTGACAATTATAAAATTCGAAATTTTGCTTGGTGTTTAAGTTGTAGACAAAATACATTTTCCAATTATTTGACTTACCAACAAACCGACTGACTCATCTGTCAGACGTCTGAAAAATGTGACTCCCTTCAGACAGGAAATACTCCTTTATAACGACTTATTATTGTTTTATCATGTATTTTCAGTCATACTAACTATCCCTGACCATCCCTGGCGCTGTGTTGTTTTGATAAATATGATTTCGAATGCTCCATAGTTGGCAGAGGTATGGAGATTTTTTGTATGTAAAAAAAACGTAAAATTAATGGTAATTTTAACGCGTAAATGCGCGTATGAGATTGGTTACGCCGTTCTACGCGCATTTCCGTCGAAAAAATTTAATTTTTTTGCATTGGGGGTGGTCTGTGCAGTAATAATAAGAGCTGTGACGTCATCAGTATCGGTAATTTGACCTTGAACTTGACAATACTGTAAATACAATTGTGAATTTCAGAGTGATAACCATTTATGCTATAATAGTCGTTTTGGTATTGTTATGTTAGGAAAAACTTGACGAAAACGTTGAAGAAAAAATTAATTAATTAAGAATTAATTATTAACCCTCTACTGTACACAGAAGATCTCAAAGTCCAATTTTTTTTTTAGAAATTTTTGAAATTTTTTTGCAAAAATTTTTTTCGAGGGGTGTGTTTTAAAGATATATTGCTGAATAGAACTCTAGCAGACGCTTTTAAAAACCCATGAATAACGCTTTAGGGATTAATGGTTGACATAAAAAAATAAGTTTAAAAATACCCATAAAATGGGCAGGGCTTGCGGCTTAAAAAGGGTTAATATCACAAAAGTTGCTTTGTATATTTTACCATTGCAATATTTTGATAGTGTTTCAGACTTAAAATGCTTTACTTATAAAAACACCATATTGTTTTATATAATTAACCGCCAGCAGCCATTTAAAAGTATCACAGCTTTTACGCGATTAATTTTTTATTATTGCAACTAAATTAAACCGCTCCGGGAGACAAAATGACCATTGAGTTATTTGATTTATACTTAATTTCGGGAAGATCACTGATAACTGATAAAGCTCTAGCAAAACCTAAAAAACTACTCAATGATTACAACCATACCAGAAAATTTGTCTGAATGATAAAGTGTCTGAATGGAATCTAAACTTCTGCTGTCACGTACCGTTGGTATTTTGCTGATAAGTCAACGTTAGGAAAGTAATCAAGGGATTCGATGCTCGATGATTAATACATTGAATATTAGCTATTACCACAAAGGTAACATACTTAAAATTCTCTAGGATCGGCCTGGTCATGAATGGCAGATCTGTGTCATAATTTGGGATTATGGCTAAATTAAATCTATTTTGGGGGGTCAATAGTATTTCATTGTGGTCTGCATTTGAACAAAACCAATTTCAAAACTCAAAATGTTTGAGTTTGAATTATCCATGCTTGATCCGAGTGTTCTCAATTACGGTGACGTCATCATATTTTTTTTATGTATAATTTTTATTTTGCAACAAGGTCAAATTTATTTGTATGAGTATTTCAAAGCTTAAAAATAAACAAATATCTGTTGTTAGTTGAAAGCCAGGGTATTTTGAACGCGCGAGCAACGTTCTCCGGCTCATAATAAACAAACAAAAATACCAGACAGCACGCGATCAAATGCTCTTCGATAAAACGAATATCACTTCACTTACAAATCCCACTTTTGTTTTATTTTGAAGGTGACGTAAAACTCGTCCAAAGGAAAACTCTTTCTCTCGCATATCAATCACGTGTTGACCACAGCGTTAAAAGTGAGAAACTTTTTCTCGAAATTTCCTCTCTTCTTACTGGCATATGGTCGGACGCATTTAGGCTACGTAATGTGGGCGCGTTTTAGTGGAAAGCGACGAAAATAAGCTTTTTAGAGACACATTAATGATGTCTTTGGCATTTTTGGTTGGTGAAATATTAAAAAAATTATAGAGGGGTGTCAAAATGACCCAGGAACACCAGGGGTCATTAGGTTTTAACACACACAAGTCTGCTAATTTTGTGAAAGTTATCGGTGGAAGGAAGGAGGCAAACACATGATGATGGTTAATTTGACGTTTGGGTACTGAATCACAACATAATAGAAACTAATATGCGATTGAACCTAGATTTATACCACGAGAACAATAAGTGAATTTAACAAAGTCAGTGAAATTATAAATAAATTATTTTTATAAATTAAAATGAAACCATGTGAATCCACTTATACCAAGTAAAATTCAAAATATGACGTACCGTAAAGCGTGAGGCTAGTCATATTATCCTGAAGTATTCGATTTCCCAAGATATTGTTTAAAAACGCACGTTAAATATTTTGCAGCGAAAAGTGACAACACCCATTTTAAGATTTAATATATTTGAAAAATATTTTCAAATATATTTCAAACAGAGTGAGAAAAAAACAAGGCATATTTACAAGAATGAGTAGTTGCATTAAATTGATATACAACGATTGAAAAACATTTCAGTATTTCAACCAATCTCACATTTGATGGAATATGGAGTTCAAAATATATCAGTATCTATACAATTTATTGTGGGACAGAATAATGTTTCACAGGTTACAATTTCATAATCGAAAGTTAAAATAGAACGCACGTCGCTGAGCTAAAATGCATTACCTAAAAATCTAGAATAAAAGAACACAAAAATCATGAAAAGAAATTTTTGCAGATGCAAATTGCGGCTTCAAAAAACTTGCATAAATCGATTTTCAATCATTCAGCCTAATGTAACACTTTTCAAATTGGGGATATAAAATATATCACCATTTATTCATTCGACACGAAAGAAATAGTGTTCAAAACGAACATTTAATATATTTTATTTATCATCTAGGTCTCCAGGAAATATTTCATACAGATGTGACCTCAAAAAATAGTTGCATAAATCAGTTTTAAATTTGTTCAAATTAAATCAAAATCTTTCATAATAATGAGAAAATTAATATTTATGCATTTGATATAATGAAAATCGGCTTCTCACCCCCTGTAAATATGAATCATTTATCGCGTAGTTCCTCAGAGAACATATAATAAAAAAGAGTTAAAACTATTGCAATGGCTTCTAGAATCGAGTGATGCCGCACAAAGTTTTGCGGCTGCAATATATTGAATAACACAGTAAATAAAAAAGACTTTCAAATCGAGAATCAACGTTTAAGCTTTCACATTTTAACTAATGCATAAAATATAACAAATAATCAGAACGGGATTAAATTTCGGATAACAAGTAATTTCAGAACCAAATTTTGGTATACTTTGTAACCAATGATTTATTATTTGCGATACTTCACCAAACCTATGATCGAACCTATGCAATACAAGCTAATAAACTAAGGCTTTTTGGGGGGCAAAGCACTTAAGTATTTTATTTAGAGTGCCCAGTCTCATAGAAAAAAGAAAAGAAAAAAATAGGATTTTAGCTTCAAACACTTCCAACCTCACATTTGAAATAATACTAAATACTATATATTTTTAATAAACTATGGCACACGATAAAAGATAAAGTGGAACAGATATAATAAAAAAAATAAAACAGTATTATAATAAAAAATGCGAACTTACTGAATATCAGTCCGGCTTAACCAGTATAGCAAAGTATAGTCTAAATAAAATAAGTCCCTTGGAATGCCAATGTGTTATGGTGAATATCAAGTCTTTGAAACCATGCGAGAGAAATTAAATTGAAAAATACTTCACAGATTAGGATGGTGTACAGAAAATGTTTTACGGAAATAAAACTTTTTCCAAGCTTTTTAACTCTCAATTAAAATAATAATAAAGATAATACTCAGTCTCATATAATAAACAAATTTCAACATTGTTATGTAATGTCAACATATAGAAATCTTTGTTCAGTCTGCATTGTATTAGGGCTGGTGATTTCGAATTGAATAATGAATTATTAGAGTCATCTCAGACGAAATTCAAATTGCGCCATCTTGTTTAATTTTTGTTCAACAAAGGTTGAGGTGAACCCTTCTATTTTCTGTAGAGTCATCTCCCGTCGGTAAGTTTCAATCGCTGCTATGTGCAATTCTTTCATAGCTATCAGCGCTCTTCGTATTTTTAAAATGAGTCCCGCATGGTTGTATGAAAACTCAGCGAACAGACTGAATGATAGATACTATGTTCTCAGTGATATTTTGTTTCTGTATAAACCCATTACAATAAAGGAGGACATATAATAACGTCTTTGTATTAATTCAAACATTCTTGGGGTATTTGAGATCCGATTCTTATCTGAAATCATCAAGTATTCGAAAATGCCCATCCCTCCCTTTCATACAAGTTTGCTAGAAGATTGTAAATAAAAATACATGTTTGCAATTCACATGGAATGTTCAGAATCACATCACAGTCTAAAGTCACCCTCTGCAGCCCCATCATCCGACACCATTGTATGAGTTGTGGTTTGGCTCACAGATCTAGTATAATCTAGATTACAACCATCAGTCGAGCTCGAATCCGAACCAGGTAATTTTTTAATTCTTCGAGCAAGTTTTGGAAGTCTGTATTCGATGTTTCTCTTCAACTTATCTTCGTTCATTCCTTCTCTCCATTTTATAACATGGTTTGTCTGTTAAAAATTATTTATTGTTACGCAGAATATTACGAGTTGATACTACATCTGTATTGATATTGTTAAACTTCAAGAATTATAAATATATGCGATTTAAATCAATAATTCTATATAGGACTATCCGAGGGTGGGGAAGGTTTTTGGCCAAAAATGTTGTCCACCTGGACTGGCAGGCCATGTGAGTGTGACGTAATAAGTTACATTTTATGAAAAATACTTACAATGTTACAAAAGCAAAAGTGGAGAACAATATGCTAATTTAAACAAACTAAACTCAATCGCAATCTCAACAAACTTGAGCTATTATTTCAAGTAAAACATCACTATTTTGTTTCAGTTTGGTTGTGACATCATCCGCGGGCCAGATTGAATTACGCAACGGGCCGGATTCGACTCGCGGGCGTTAGTTTGCCCATGTCAAGAATAGAATGTAATGAGTTACGTGGAGCTTAAATTCGGTGCACCAAAAACTTCGTGCGGAGTAGAAGTACGTATCGCATTAAATAATATCACTTCAAATTCGTTGTAATGCTTTTACTATGAGGCATTTTTTATAATATTGTTAGATTTAAATTATTTTAACTTTAAATTGATCTAAAATAACTCAATGATCTAAAAAAATATTAACTTTTAAAAAACCATTATCTTTATCGTAATAAGCACATGAAATGATTTCTTAAACATCGAGAAATATATTACCTTGATAGCAATCAAAAGCCTTTGCCAAACTTTGTCAGTCCTTGCTAGTTTCTTCAGCACTCTCTTCGTTCCCGGAGTGAGAATAAATATCAGGCCCATTTGAGACTCAAGAAGTCCATGAAAACCCTGTGAAACAGAGATATAATGAATACAATGGTTTCGATCCAAAGTTTGTGACATTTGTTCTTAGAATGTTTTTTAGAGAGCATCATTCTTATGCTAATATCTACCCAGTGGTCTTCAAGTTGAACCCCAATGAAACATTCAAAAAACAAACAGAATTACAATCGTTTTTTATTGTCTGAATTATGTAAGTTATAAATGTATATAAACGCAAACCTAATAAGGACAGAAAAATATTTAGAGTGCAGCAAATTTGATGAAAGTAGTAGCCCTAATAGGCCTAATAGGCAAGTGTAGCACTATATCCAAAAGTTATAGTTAATTGCTTGAAAAACGCACTATATCCGACTGTGAGGGTTCCGTGATCACAATATGGTCTACACTTGGCGCAACGTGTTTAGCGTAAATATCACCTTTCTACTTTTTGTAATTGTGCTGCGGGACCTCGTTGCCGAGTCAGCGTCGGCCTTAAGTAAAACTGGAGTAAATGCCCGGTCAACTATTCTCATACCAGATCTAATTTGTTAATCGAACATTTATTCTACCAGCCTTGTTTTGCGTTTTCTTGAAATAAATTACAAAACATTTTATAGAAAATCTTAAACTTACCAATTCCGCGTGAAATCTCATCCAGCGATCATTTAGATATTCAGGAGTCAAGACAAAAACCATTCGGTGACATCTTTCTACAAGGTTTGTGATTCTTTCAACTTGAACTGAAAAAACGAAATTGGTTTCTATGAGTTGCACTAACGTATATTTTTTCGATAATTTCAGCAAAAATTCCAAACATAAAATAAACTGAAAATAAGCTGCATAAACTGATGTATAAGGCAGGGGTGTGCAACATTTTTGTTGATGGACCATAAAACCAACTTCAGACATCAAGCTGACCACACAAAACATTTGGCAGGAAAGATAAGAGAGGAGAATGCAGCTTGTCGCATAGCCTTAAAGTAATGATAACACCGGACAGTAGGCGGAAGATTTGACGCAGCGACATGAATAAAAAAAACTTTATGCATTTTTATCCATGTGAGCACCGTTTCAAACATAAACACAACTTCACATTCTGAGCTCAAAATACTGACAACTCATTTCATTATTGTATTCACAATAGGCTCCATATCAATATATAACTTACAAGTTAAATATTATTCGCTGCAACAATCAGACAATTCCAAATGGAAATGTTCGCCAATTAAGTATATTTTTGAATGAAATTAGAAAACCATAATGAAATTACTAATACAAGTAATGGAAATGTTAATATATTACCTGTAAAATCAATCTGCCTTTGTTCGTCATAGTATGTATAATTCAAATCTTCCAACAGGTTTTGAATGGCGTATACGACGGTGGATGTAGCTTTGAGACTTTCATCAGAAAGTGTGTCAGTATCATATAGATATGAAAGATAGCAGACATATTGCTTGTCGTCTGTTGAAATACATAAAATAGATGTTTCATAAATTGCCATTACAATTGAGTGGGGTTGGTAACGCGATATACATTTACAGTCAAAAATATACATATAGCGCCAACCCTGTTGTTACAATTTGACGATAATCAATTACATTGCGGCCATTTATCAATGTACGTTTATTTGATTGAATTTCAATATTTATGATCCAAATTCATTGGGATTCAACAATAACAGCAATAATATGTAAATCGCGGAAGCTTAACGCCAAGACGAATTAATAATATAACTTGAAAAGACTGGACAAAACTTAAATAATGTATATTAACTAGGTCTGCGAAAGTAGCGTCTCATTTAGAAGTTTCTACTGCAAGTTTGTTTTAGAAATATGTACAAAAAACGCCATAAAGTATATAAGATTTTTTATTTTATTTTTTTTTTATTTTCAGTTGTTAATTTCGATAGCAATCGAAAATCTACTTTCTCTAAAATGTTTATGAAGATGGTTACATTGACTCGGATGGTATGAATTATTCAAAAAAAATAAATAAATTAGAAGAACTTTCCGAACTATGGAGGCTAGCTAGGGTTCCCTGAACGCCGTGGTTCACAGGAAAAGTTTAAGCGTCTATGATATTCACACTCATAAAATTCTCACGCATTTGATGTAAAAATATTGCTCACAGAAAGTAGCTTTTGTATTCGCGTTCGAGACAACCTATTTATTGTTAAATTGACCAGTTAGTTTCAGGATTTGGGATTCCGCATTTTCCAGGCAAATCAATAAAAAAGTGTTCGAAATCATATTATGTAGATTAACGAGACTATTGTGTGAATCTCTATTACTATCAAAATGAGGAACACTGTTAAAATATCTCGAAGACCATATAGAAAATATTATATTCTATAAAACATTTTTAATAAAGTACAAAAAATAAGAACAAAGCGGTTGAATTTACCTCTATCATATTTCCATAGCCATGATCTCTTGTACGCAACAAGAATGTAGATCTCAAATCTTTTATAAAGCAGGACCAGCATTATAATGAATATCAGCACACCCAGGCATATACTAAGAATCATGATGAGTCGAAGTAGTCGTGGCGTATTGTCTTCATTTAGTTGCACATCCCACTCATCCATCTTCCACGAGTTAGATGATATATCGAAATAACCCAAGTTGACAGTATATTGGCCCATATCGTTGCTTTTCAGGTCTCTGTTGTTAAGAAAAAGAAATGAATCATTTGGAATAAATTTCGTGAAAACAACGATAGAAATGTGCTCGTCTGAAGATGTTACAGAAATACGTTTGTTATAGTGTGCAGCAATAATTGAAATAAAATTGAACCGCATTTAAAATGTAATGTATGTCTAGTAGTAATGTGCTATTTATCATATAACATATGAATAATAAAAATAATTTGATGGATATCTATCAAAAATTGCTTGTAGAAACCAAGTTATGGAATAAAAATGTGAAAATACAAAATACGAAAAAAAAAGCAAGAGTGATGCTAAGCGAACGTTACAGAGCAGGGTTGTGTAACTGGTTGAAACCGCGGTCCACTTGTATTCAACATCGGCTTTCTAGTAATTACAGGCTAAAAACGGTTATTGATGTTATGACATGCGCTGTTCGATTCGCAAAAAAGTATATCCTTGCAATGCAAAGGGATTGGAATAACTTCCAGCACGTACTAAATTAAAACTCGTCTTGCGGGCCGCACACTATTCAAATTTGGCACTTGTCCACGTGCCGCACAATTTTTCCTTGTGGGTCGCATTTGGCGCGCGGGCCGCAGGTTGCACGCTCCTGTTACAAAGCACACGTCGTGTTAATTATAATTTGAAGATAATCTGATGCCAATGTTGTTGTTTTTTGTTTTGTTTCTTCAAATAAATTAAGAGAAATGATATATTTATGAATTAGTATTTACCGAATATAGAGTTTTATATCGATTGTCTTTCTTTCGTGTTGTATTTCCTCACCCTCCGTATTTGCACCGTCAACGACACAAACAACAGAGTCATTGTTGCCTTCCCTGGTAAATATAATCAATCAATGGTAATTTACCTAAAGGTTATATAAATTAATTTTTAATAGTAAATTATTTTAAGAGGCCCAATATGAAAAGCTTAAAATGACATATAGAGCTAACATAGAAATTATCAGTTAAATTACCACTAAACGCATTGCTGGTAATTAGAAGTTTTTTCGCTGGGAAGAAACAATTATGCATCACAATATTATTTTATTTCAGTGGGTCTACGAAACAATAGCAGCCATAGCAATATGAAAAATGATGTCAAAGTGAAAACACCATAGAGCCCACAGAAATATTTAAAATAAATAAAATAGATGTTCTTCTAGCGACAACAAAAAGATGAAAATTCTATTGCAATTGGTCGAGCAGTTGGAGATATTTTTCTACAACAACAAGGATACCAAGAAGAAGAATACTAACAACACTAATTCATAGGACCATTTCGTGCCCAATGACAAAATGAAGCTTCACAAATATGATTTGAATATGGAAATTTACTTACACGATGCATGATTGTCTTTGGTCAAAGACTCCAAAACTTGTCTGGTTGAAAAAATTGTTTTCGCAAATTGTATCACCGTTCTGAATATTAAAATGAAAATTAGTTAAATTTAAGTACTATATTGGCAGAATACTATTGATACACACATAAAAGTTATAGTACCATTGGATAGATTCGCGGAAGCCTGTTCTTGGAATGTTGTAATTTGATTTTTGTGTTGGACGACCGCAGATAATGGGTGTGTACACCGGCTGATGACTAGCGTTATGTATGACGTTTCGAAAGGAATGTATTAGATTTGTGTAAAATGTATCATATCAATTAGCTTACGTAGTGAAATACAAACATTTTCTGAATTTGTGAGTTCAATGTAAAGAACCCGTTCTAACAATTGATATCTCATCACTATTAATAGTAACCTTCTTCATAATATAATACTTCCAATGCTGATTTGTAAAAAAAAAAAAGAGCATACTCTTCCAAATTGTTAATTTTCTACGAGAAAAGGTAGCTAAATTGCTGGAGTAGTCACAAGCAGAGTTTCCAACTGGGGGAGAAATCGCCCCAATGGGTTTATTTTTTAAGAAGTAGGTGTATTACACTGTTTTTTTAATGTAGTAATAATAATATTCTTTATTTATTGAACATTACTGTGATAATTATTCACCCAACACTAATTAAATAAACTATACAAAACCCTGAATGCACTCATAAATTGCTAATATAATATCAAATATCGGGAAACAAATGGAAAAAAATTTTTTACATGCTGAATGGAGTTCCGAAATTGACAAAAAGAGAAATTTGGCAAAAATGCTGGGAACCACTTGTTTATTAAAAGATCAGAAAAACAACAACATACCCTTTTCCATTGTGCTGCAAAATGTTCTGACGGCGTGGTTCCCAATACTATCTGTCCGGTGCAATCAAGTACAGCAGTATCACCGAGTGCTTCAGTCTCGTCATTGGTACAGGTGATTGTAGGATTGATGGATTTGGTGCGCTCTGAAGAATTAAGAAAGTTAGAATGACTTATAGAAAGTGAAAAATCGTATCAAACTATACATCAGGATGAGAAGATTCAATGTATCTTTGTTTTCAACTAACTTAAAACATGCACATCATCTTACTAAATTTCGAAGTTCGAAAATTTTGATAAACGTGTTCATCCGGTTCTGGGCCTATCTATATGACATCATATATAATATGAAACGCATATAACAAAGGAAAAAGGTCGTAAAGCTTCACTTTATTCTTTATGATAAGAAAAGTTCAGTGTGAATCTAGTTTCAACTAACATGTACATAATAATATCAAATTTTCACGTCCCACCAGACTTTCGCTGAGCTGTTGCCTAGCTCTATGGGCCTATATTGTCAGAGCAAAGCAAAGAGAAGCTGTTTCAAATTAAGAATTCAAAATAACAGAATATTTCGTAGAAATGTTTAAAAAGACAAATTCACATCAATATGATGTAAATATATTAATGAAGAGGAAATCGTTTTATATTCGAAATTTGCATGACAGGTTGGTTTGACTTGAAAACGGCCGAGTATTCAGAAAGAAGCCTAAAAAAGAAATTTATGATCGCCGCACCGGGAAAGAGCAAACTATACGTATAAAAACGTAATTTGGTATTGATCAACTTACGCTTTATACATTGTGCGTATGTAACAGCATACAATATTTTTCCTTCGTATTTTACTGTACATGTAAAGTCTGCGGCATCGTAGAAATCAACTCGTGGCATCTAAAAATACAAAATGTTGTCACGGAAGTTCTATTAAACACAAAACGACTATTGTTTGTACGCCCTGCTCATTAAATGCCTTGAATTGAAGTGCCTAGAAGCCTATATTCTTTTAGATATTCAGCCATATTGAATAGCTGAACATCACAGGAAAATCTTTGGACTTTGCAAAAGTTATGGAAAGATAAAAAAAAAATCTTTATTTTTATCACAAAAAATGAAATTGAATCAGGAAATCATAAAAATTGCTGAATTCACAATTCCAGTGTCTGATTTTAAAAAGCACATGAAAATGGTATTTTAAGAACTTATATATTGTATCAGCAAATTCCTTTTTTGTTGAGGCCATTATAATAGTTTTCGAATAATGCTGGGGGCTACAAAAATATCATTTAATGGCAGAACCTGCACAAATCGCTGGGCTGCTTGTCACACCAATTATATCCGATAAAAACAAAATCTTGAACACAGAGACAACCCAATAGTTACGCAAATTCAAATTTTATCCTATTTTATAAATGGTAATTTTTCTTAGTATGTTCCCGTAATACATATAGCAAAATAAAATAACAGTAGTCTTGAATTTCATATCCGATATAAATAAAAAAGACAAATATCAACACCATAATTGACGTTAACCAGTAAATAATGTTTGGAAAGCACCAAAACCGAGCCTTTATATCAGTGATTCCGAAACTTTTTATTATATTCACCCCTAAATCGGAAACTATTAGCTCAAATATCCTTTTCATAAATGTATAAAGTTTTCAGCGCGCGCAATGTATCAAATTCAATAACAACAACAACAATGTCCTGATTTAATCTCTGTGAGAAGGGTGGTAATGTTTCTGCGATTTCAAACTCTAAATCCTCGACAAAGTGTATGACAGAGACAATCTCATATCATCGTCAATCATGAGCTTATTTCGATATTTTGTTTTAATGGATGACGTTTTGCCATGTGAACCATATTTCACAGCAAAGAGATGAATGGCATTAAAAAAATTAAACTTTGGTATTACGTTTTTGCTAGCCGTGCGACCGACTAAATTAAGACGTAACAATGTTCATATACTAGATCCAACTATAGCTTTATAGCAGGTCAGCAAAAAGGACAAACCCCATAAAAATATCAAAGTGACTTTTTGGGAGTATTTACCCCGATTAGTATTATCCCCAAAGATACTCGACTCACTCTCAATCCATTCGGGTATCCAGGATCCGGAAATTCACTCCATAAATTATTGGTTCTATATTTATCATCTTTACAGTTAACGTACCATCTAGTTTTAAACTTAGATTGATCTGCTCCTGCTGGAATTATATCTGGATCGTCTTCTGGAGCTGTTTATGAGAAGAAAAATAACAAAAATAATCAGTGGTGAAATTAAAAAAGTACAAAAACGAATTCTCTTTTGTATCGAACCCATTAACAACAGTCATTGGGGATGGGTTTAAAATTTAGGAACGGGTTCTCTTTTATATCTAACTCACTGACAACGGGTTCCCTCATTTCTAAATGTATTTGTATTGCACCACGTAAGTTACATTAACATGAGACGCTTCAGAATACATAACTCAAGAAACGTCAATTATAATGATCCTCGCGCGAACCCGTGCGAATCCACTTAATTCCGCCATGAAAATAATCGGTAGCCGTTTTCTTAGCTCACTGTATTGATGTATGTGTTGATGCTTTATCCCAGTAAACTGTCACAAGTGATGGGCAAAATTTTTCTTATTTTTGTATTACCAAGTTATCAAAATAAATTTGATCGCGTGTAAATAATTATCTGTGATAGCCCTCATCGGGTGCAAAACAAACAAAATTAGAATAAATTGCTTGGCATGCACCTTGGTCCTGTGATATGATATTTTAAAAGGGGCTTTGCAAGTTATGAGCCGACAACAGATAAGTAGGATAATGATAAGATAGCATTCTTATCCCGGGAGAAGGAAAGTCGATAAAGCGGCTGAACCATAGGGAGCCATGTCCTCACGTCTGGTTCCCAGTCCATATCAGTTATGATATTAGTTAGCCAGTTTTCAGTTATTTGTTTGATGCATATACCTGATGGTGGAGGAAGCCGTAACTGATCAGCGATTACGTGAACAACCCTGAGGTGGTTTCCAGCAATCCCCTCGCACATAGTTATCCCCCACGAGATTCTTATCTGAAACCCCGGGCAGAGTAATCGGAGACATGCGATGACAAGCGTATTCCTAGCGTATTTATCTAACAGAAAACGAATGCGTTATTAAATATGTACAATCGCAAACTCAGTTAAAAATATAATGCTTCAGTGTCACATCCATGCACGATTACATATAAGGGATTGTTCAAGGAAAAGGTTTGAAATATGCGAGCTCTTTTTATAAACTATACTTACGTCTGCAATTCAATTGCACACTATCCCCAATTGTTGATTCAAGAAAGATGGCGTCATTTACCACTTCCTTACATACTTCCGGGAAAGGTCGAGGAACAACTCGTACTTCATTTGCCAAGCAAATAGTGTTATTGATAATCTAGAAATTGTAAAAGAAATTATCAGAATCATGAGACAAAAAAAATAGGTAAATATATAAAATTATCAGTAGAGGTTACACGAGACTAATTCCCAACCATTCCTAAATGTCTTTGCGTTGGAGGACCCATACGCGTATAATGAAAGAATGCTGAGCAGGAATACGTGTCTACCATGACATATCATATACAATTCAAGAATCCTGCTTACACCAATGTATTTCTGTAACGTTTCATCTGACCGAAAATTGACTTCCCCACCCAAGCAGTTTACAACCACTTAACTAAATAAAAGTTTGTATTCACAAAATTTGCAAACATAGACATGGAAGACATGCAGTGGAAATAATATTAAAAACCTGAACTTACCAGTTTAGCAGTATAGTTCGAGTTATCAGTGAGTGATGCTAGTTCTAGAATTGTGTCGTTGATCAAGATGTCTCCCTGAGTTATGATGCACTGTGACAAAAACATGAACATATCAAAATAAGCATTCAATCAGCTTTGTTTATACATTTATAATCCCCGAATTCAGTGAGAATCATTTTATACATTCTATATTAATTTGTGATACGACAATACTATTACTATATAGATTTCAACATAGACGAAGATCTTCAGTCAGCGTTTCTTTGAAATAATACCTTCTAAATTTTGTATCACTGCAATTTACTCATGAATGGGCTTTGTTCACTCCGCAGTGAGACATGTCATGCGACCGTGCTTTGAGCGGATGTTCACAAAAAATGAAGTGAGGTTCGCGACATCCAAGCGCCATACTAAATCTGACAAACATAGTCGTGAAATAGCTTGAGAAGTCAATTGTAGTATCGATTAGAAACAGGAAACTATATTACGCGTTATCGTATTTTTGCACTATATCATGACATTACTTATATTACATATTGTTGCGAGTCAAGTTTATTTTTCTGACGATAGCAAACACGGGTAAAGCTGTATTCAAAAAAACATCGAGTTATTATTATAAATAAAAGTAAATTTAAAATAGTTCATACTATTCCCAAAATACAGAGTCTTTCAAGAAAATGTTTCGTTTAAATTTTGTAAAATAATGAGAATTGGAAATAAATATGTTGATAAAAATGTTCTTCTGATCGTAAAAATATTTGATCGCTGTTGCAAAGTTTTACAAAGAGGTAATGACAATTTAATAACACGCTGCGTATAATGATATGGTTTGTGTGGTTATCCGGATATCAATTTCGGTTCTACGCATAAGATAAACGGAGTATACGTAAGTGGATAGATATAATCGGAGGTTTTTCTACATGAAAAATTTAGGAAATGCAATTGAAGTAATCGAATGCATGTTCTTCTAGCGGCATACCAAGCAAAATTGGCGGTGGAAGATCAAATTATATTTTTGAACAACGCTTAGTTGTGCTTATCGTTCCGAGCAAATTCAGGTAAAACTAGCCACTGATATCTGATGGTATTTTTAAAAAACGCACACAGACTTACTTCGCTGTCCAAGTTATACAAGCGCTTGGACAAGCGCTTGAAAAAGGATTGATAGTAAGCAAAAAATGTTATTTAAAAAACGGGTTATCAGTGAATCGCTCACGAATGGAGCAAAATAGTGCTGAAAAAGACTTACAAATTTGTGTCTAACTGTAAATGCTGCAAAATAGTATTTCAAAAAGTTATACGTGGGTAAAATATTTGTGAGGGGGGGGGTCCGCCCCCTGGCTACCTACGCCCATGCATCCTTCATATGAAATTAAGTCTTGTGTCATACTTACTTGAATATTATCATCATCAATATTCTGTGTTTTCGTTTTCCAAATAGATTTCAAATAATCACAGTTGACACTGAATGGCCAGTTGATGTACGCTTGCTTTGTTGTTGAATTTTGGATTTGACATGTTCCGTTGAAAGCTACAAAAGAATATTGAATCTCTTTATTTCATTCCTAAAGTGGCAAAATATTTAATTCTTCCATGAGTTCGTCTTTCTAGCGGCCAACAAAGCTTTTTCTAATGTATATTTAATGTGTTTGGAATTTGATATCATAAATAAACTTGTAATCAAGAATGCATTATCTCCGAATAAAAACAGAACGCGCTGTATTTAATATTAGTGCAATATCATACACGTAGACGTTCTTTATTTATTATTTTAAAAATTCAGTTATTTAATTAGTGTAAAAAACTTTAAATCTTAAAATTCTGATTTTAACTTTAACCACCAAATAAACTTATTACTAACCTTCTCCGTCTACTGAATTAAATGCAATGCATAAATGCATAAACAAGGCAAGTAGGATGTAAGAAAAATAAGAATTATGCTTCATTATAACGTTAGTTCTGTAAAATGAATTTAAACATATTTTGAGGAAAATATAGATGAAAAGTCTGAATTCAGAATGCGGCGGTATTTTACTTCGGTTCAATGTGACAAAACTCATATATATACTACTTCAACTTCCATGTATTTTCTATACTGCTTCCTTCATGAAACTTTGCAACTGAATACATAATGATGTGCAGGTATTTAAAATATCACATATATCCTATATAACAAACGAATTTAAAGCATCTCTCTCTATCCAGCTTAAATTATTTCTGCAATCTCAACCCGTTCGTAATTCTCCCCAAATTCCACTAAAAATCACTTTAATGAAGATAAAAATGGTTGTTTTTCAATTTGTTATTGAAGTAATATAACGAAAAGGAAAAAATAAATATATGAAATAAAACAGTTTTTATTGTTTTTCTGCCTTATTCTTTAAGAGAATCAAGGACATAATGTATTTTACAAGTCTATGAAAAGTGAAATTGACAGTTGTACAAAAAAACGCAACTCTTTTATTCATAAGTCCTGGAAAGCACCATTAGATTTCAATCAGTGAAACAGCACATAAAAAGTCTATTGCTTGCGGTCAAAAACTTACCGTCATTTCATGAACTGTTGTTTAAAATATTAATCAGGTCGGGAAATTCACAAAACTTTGCAACTCAAAACTTCCAGAAATCGAAATATGTTTCTTCAACCACACTAACTATACGGGGTTATCAATTGAGTTCCTGTGAACTCAACTATCATCATTCTAGGCTTTTGCGCCTGTTGAACTGAATGCGTATGAGTTGAATTATATGCAGTATAGTAGTATTATGTATGTCTAAGGAATTCTAACCTTGGTCATACGAAACGTTACAGAAATATATTTGTGTTACTGCATAGCAGGATCCTTGGATCACTTAGAGTTAGACTAACTATGAACTTTCGAACTAAATTCCATGCGCCATTTTGTCAGTTTTTCATTTCTTTTAAATATTTTTTAATACAAGAACCAATTTCTTTCTGTTTTTTAATAACGATGTAAATGTACGACAAATTAAAATTAAGCAAACATTGTCGTCATTGATTGTGGTCATTATTTGTTTTCATACTTTTTGATTAAGTTGAATCATTTAATACACAAAGCACCGCTTTATTTGAAAGGTCTGGTTTAGATTGATTAATACCGAAAAGCGGATTATACAATAAGTAAAATAAACAATATATAACTAGAAGCGATCTTTCTTAACCATCCTTTAAATTTTTCATATTTGTCTGACAAAATATCGTATTTTAAAATCTAATAAATTTAATAATCAAAGTTATTTTCTATTATTTGGAAACCTACATGAGTCATGAAGTATAGTTTTAGCCTTTCAAAATATATTTAAAAAGGAAGTACAAACGGAAGACGGTTTCATGGAATGAAAATCATTGGTTTCATCGTTCTGTGTTAAACTTTAATGACTGATTTCTTCGGCTGAGCATATACAATTAAACTTATTTATTTAACTAAATATTCTACTAGTATATTTGAGAAAAGTCAAAAAGCACTAACACGGGTGAACCATGGATCGACGAATATATTCTACATCTGTACAAATGAATTTAATAATATAGTCAATCAAATTATCAAAACCTATCCAATATTGTTCACACTGAGCATAGCATGTTCAATCATTCAGACATGATAAAAGTCAAACTAATCATAACTAATTAAACAAACTACAAATATATACAATTTATAAAATTCCCGGTTATATATTGTTTAATTTACATTGAACATTATTTAAACAAACTTCAAATATTAACAATTTATCTTCACCCTGAGCTTTTATCATCGAAATTACTTAAAACAGTATGGCAAGCGATCCCAGCGTTTATTCTAATTTCATTTGCTGATATATATATTATCCTATTGGGAATTATCCACATACTTATTTCATATATAGCAAATATTGTAAAGTGTAAAACAGTGAATCATCTGTTTATCACACTTTATTTTAGGAATTAGATCTTATCAAAACAACTGTATTATTAGGGCATTTCCAAATATAAAGTAAGGAATCTTGATGAGGTATTGGTAATTCTTAGAGCAATCCATACATAAGTTACAAGGAATTTCGATGAGTTTGTAGAAAAGAGGAATTCACAGAATGACAACATGGCCCAACTGCGAAGAAAATAATAGCTATTGAACATTATTAAACAAAATTTTTGGAAGACAAAAACCAGTATTCAAAACAAATAACAATTTGGCACTTATAATTATGGTTAAAATGACTTCAAATTTCGATCGATCTTTAATACGGGGGAATTCTATTCAAATAAGAATGCAATCTTCAAATCATTGGTAATTTTCGTGCAAAACGTAGTAATTAAAAAGTATATGATGACATATATTGGAATTCTTTCAATAAAAGTCCACAATTCTTGATCATTATAAGTATGTAAAACTTTCTACTGATGGGCGAAAATAATTGAAAAAAAGAAAATGATTTAAAATACCATTTTGGGCTGGAACATGATTAACGGGGATTTGAAAAGGAGAATACAAAAAAAATTATACTCAGGCTGCAAATCGACACTGAAGTAACTATCAATGATTTCAACAATTTTAATGTGGTTCTATATTGAAAAAAGGACGAAATTTCAGTTCGATGATACGATGACACACATCTGTGTAACACATGGTTTCGTTTTTATTATTATTATATTTAATTTATCATGTATTTTGGAGTGATTTTATAAACAAATATGATAGACAAATATGCATGCTCAGATTATTCCAAAGCCTAACACGAAATTTTATAAACAAATAATTTTGGCTTCTGACCATAAAACCGAAACTACATAGTCGCCAATTCCTAGAACAGACTTTGCAAAACGTCTTACATACAATGACGTATCAAAATTCAAAAATCCCATCTGTAGTTCTAGATCTTGAATGGAAGGAAATAACTCAGCGAAATTTCCCCGAGATTGTATTTCGGTTTTAATGGCGAGTCAAATATCAGGAGTCAGTACCATGCAGAAAATGGTTGAACAATAAATCGGTATCCTTTTTCAGCGAATCTTTATACTACATAATAGAGCTTGTGATTTATCGACAATAAATCAGCGACAAAATACTTTTTCGCGATAGTCGGAATGTCGGGAATTTCCGGAAGAATATTTTTAATATACCAAACATATGAAATTTGTTAAATATTTTATGAATAAAGCATTTGATGCACGTTATAATTTTGAGCGCTATGCATTATATCCAATGTTCAGTTTTCATATAAATCTAAGCCAACAAGTTACGGACGAAACGAACTTAAAATACATTATTCCAATACAACATAACACAGGAACAGAGTAATGCTCAAGAACCTGAACACGAACGTCACTTAACAAGCGGAAATACAATGTCAGCAAAATGTAAAAGTATTGCACTCAAAAATGTCATATGCAACGTTATATCGGAAGCCATATAAATGTGTGCCAGTGAATTGAGCAAAAAACAAAAATTTTGAGATAAAGTATCGGCCCACGTTTTCTCGCAAATCCTATCTTTGAGTACTAAAAAATGGAAAACGATAGGTTCATTTGTTTTGCAAAAAACGATTTTTCAAAACCCCACACGAACCCCAGCAAGAACAACTATAAAAAGTTAGATAAAGGGGACCATACGCCCAGTTCGAGTCCAATATGCAATTTAATGATAAAAATAACATTATACTCCTCTTTCTCATTTCATATATACATACATATCCAATATTATATGATTAAAATTTTAACAAAATAATACTTCCATAACTAGATATTATTGAAAATTCGTCTCCTGGTACTTACTAATTAGATACAGTATTAGACTGATTATCCATATCTATTGTATGATATTGATTACAGTAGCCATTTTCTTTTGTTGTCTGATACGCAATGTACTCATACCAAATTTCCGAGTTGATTGATTGACCTGGCACCAAGACGAATCGATACCAGACTGCTCTGGTATGAACTTTGTCGCCCAACTAGTGTTTCGGTATGAATTACGACAAGAGGGAAAACGTCGCTGTTATTCAAATGTTGATCAAATCAGTACACGTACAGGATTATATTTTCTTGATATTGCAAAGTTTCATTAATAGATTAGTAAAAAGAATTTCCTTTTTCATTTTGCCTGTCTGTTAATTATCTTTCCTATATTTATCCGGTATGACTGCTCTGGTGTTAAGTTTGTCGCCCAACTAGTTTCAGTACTGATTACGACAAGGAAAAAACATCGCTATTAATCAAAAGTAAATAAAACCAACTCACGATACTATTTTCTTGATATTATAAAGTTTCATTAATAGATTAGTAAAAAGAATTTCCTTTTTCATTTTGCCTGTCTGTTAATTATCTTTCCTATTTTTATCCGGTATGACTGCTCTGGTGTTAAGTTTGTCGCCCAACTAGTTTCGGTACTGATTACGACAAGGAAAAAACATCGCTATTAATCAAAAGTAAATAAAACCAACTCACGATACTATTTTCTTGATATTGTAAAGTTCCATTAATATATTAGTAAAAGGAATTTTCTTTTTCAACTTGCCTATCTGAATATTATCTTTCAACATTTATCCGTAATAAAGCAATAATTCAACGCGTTTTTGTGAGGCTTTTCTCCTGTAGTCTCAGGAAAGTAGGTGCTTTGAGTCAAGAATTGAGAAATTTTGTGGTTTGGGGGAAGAGTTTCATTTTGTAACTGCTGTATAGTTACTAATATAATTTAGTTCCTCATTATTACTATAATGTTTACTTAAGCACAGATTATAAACTTCCCATACTGTACGAAGGCGGAAGTGCGACTTGCGTATAACTCTTGCTATAAAAAAAAGATTGAAGAAATCTGTCAGAGGAATAAAGAGTTCCAAAATAGACGAAGGGACGAAAAAAGTTGAAGAACCATGAAATTAGCGTATTATTAGAACCATTACGAGAACGCATAGGCTCTTTTCGTTTTATTATTGGCCTCTAATTTTTAATAAAAATCGGCATG